ACTTTGTTCAGAGTTGTGTAGTGACTGTGTGTGTGTGTGTGTGTGTGTTCACTTTGTTCAGAGTTGTGTAGTGACTGTGTGTGTGTGTGTGTTCAGGGCAGTGTCAGAGCTCTGCTGCATGAGAAGATCAGAGACGCCTACACTCATCCTCAGTTCATCACTGACGTCATGAAGCCACTGCAGATCGAGAGCATCATCGACCAGGACGTGAGTACACACCTACACCTGGTATCACCTGGGAACACCTGGTAGCACCTGGGGACACTTTAGCTGTGTCCGAAATCACTCCCTATGCCCTACATAGTGCACTATATAGGTTGCACGCCATTTTGTAGGGTTGTTCGAATTCTCAGCGGGACATTTCATCCACTATATAGTCACTCCAAATATCCCACAATGCACCGTAAAAAGTAGCGCACAGCCGATGGTCACTAACCAGCAATATGGACCGTCATGCACTGAAAGGAAATGGAGATGAACGAGAGCGCGAAAAATTCCCGTTTGTTTTGTTAAATGTTATTTTACTCGGACAGTGAACGGCGCTAAAACTGCGGCGCTGGGTTGTGATTTGGACAAACTACACCACTTTATTTAAACTGCTTTTAGTTAGTGGATCCTGAAGAAACGCTCTCATCTGGTGTGTACAGCAAAATGACAATAAACTGGATTTAATTTGATTTCTTAGCTACGCAATAAACTGTTAATTTGCTGTGACGCTGTTGCAGCACAAATTGCGGCTAGCGAGCGCCGTAATTAACAGCTCGAGTAGCGTCCGAGATGATACTTGGCCGAGGTGCTCATTATATAGAGCACTACATAGTGATCAGTGTGTAGGGAGCAGTGAGGGGGTGATTTCAAACACAGCTCTGGTATCACCTGGGGACAGAGAATTTAGCTGCATTTATGGAGTATTCAGACGGTTTTATGGAGAACTGGAAGCTGAGGCCAGCACAACAACGTCCCAGAATCAGAACCGTACTTTGCTTCGCTGCTCTGAGCCGTCGATCAGAACTATTGTCTTCACCAACCGTCCTTGTGTTGTATTCGTCTGGTCACATTTCCAGTCAGCTCCACAGTCCAACTGGGCTTCTTCTTGGTACTGAGCTGTGTCAGTCGTACGGCTGGTGTCTTAGTGAAGGTACTTGTAGTTCTGGTAGTACAGGCTGGTTAACGGGTGAACGGACCTGGTCTGTCTGCAGGTCCAGAACCTGTCTGGAGGCGAGCTGCAGAGAGTCGCCCTCACTTTGTGTTTGGGGAAGCCGGCCGACGTCTACCTGATCGACGAACCCTCGGCGTACCTGGACTCGGAGCAGAGGCTGATGGCTGCCAGGGTCATCAAGAGGTCAGTGGATCCTGCTGGTCCGATGTTTGGTCCTGCTGCTATGCATCACAGCCGGGTCGTTTCGGACCGCCTACAGCCACTGAAACCATATAGCAATGTGTTCTTAAATACAACCACACTACAGCCATGAACTCACATCCCTGACCCTGAGCCAACCCTGACCCTGACCCCAAACCCTAATCCTGATCCCTAACCCTAAACCCTAACCCTGACCCTGAAC